GATAAATCAGCTATTATCTTTAGCCCAAACATGCCTATCGATACTAGACTGATTAGCTGCACATGCTGGTGGTACATTCTTGCGATAAATATTTTAGGGCTTCCATCTGTAGTAGGCAGATCAAAATCAAACACCGAAGTTTTTGCATCTATCAAGGATAGGGTGTGGCAAAGAATTCAAGGATGGCATGAGAAGCAGCTCCCGCGGACAGGAAAAGCAATCCTTCTCAAGGCTGTTATCCAGGCAATCCCAACTTATGCCATGTTGTGTTTTCAACTTCTCCATTCTATCTTATGCGACATTCAATCAATGTTTCCTAACTTTTGGTGGGGTGACGGATCATAAAAGAAAAGAATGCATTGGATTAATTGGGACAGTATGTGTTCATCAAAGGAGAGGAGTTGGCTTTCCGTATCCTAAAAGCCTTCAATTACACAATGCTTTGCTAAGCAAGCTTGGCGGATCCTTCCTAAAGCTTTCTCTTTACTGCATAAAGTTTTGAAGGCAAAATACAACCCAGATTCAGATTCTTTTCAGGCACAGCTAGGACCCAGGCCATCTCTAACTTGGAGAAGCATTCTTGAAGGTAGGAGAGTGCTGCATATTGACTAGCGGATAAGGGTGGGAAGAAGAAAACTATCAGAATTTTGGAGGATCCTTGGCTACCACGGCCTACAACTTTTCGAATCTGCTCACCACCTAATATCATCTCACCTGATGCTTGTGTCAGTGACTTGATTGATAATTCTACTTATTGCTAGAATTCTGGTTTGATTGAGAAGTTTTTTGGAAGGAGGGGGCTTACTTGATTAAAGGAATTCAGCTCTCTAGGTTACAAATAAAGGATAGATGGATTTGGCACTACATACGCAACAGCAAATTTACTGTCAATGGTGCATACCATACTATTATGATGGGGACTTCCTACAACTTAATCAACTTGATCACGTTTCTTCAAGTTTAAATCATGATAAAATCTAGACGAGGCTCTGGTCTCTGAATATCCCCAGCAAAGTAAAGCATCTTATATGGCGAATTTGTCACAGCTCTCTTCCATCTGCTGACAATTTTTTGACATGGTTTGTAAGTAGACAACAGCTGGAAATCTCATGCACATGTTTCTATTCAAGTTTAGGCTTTATCTTTCCTTGCGCAGAAAGTCCAGAATTATCCTCACTCCGCAATTGATCTTTGGGTAAAAGAGATAGTTTGTTCAATAGTCAAAGAGGACTGCGAATTATTTGCAGTCCTAACTTATGACATATACAACACTTGGAATGCCAAACTGTTTGATGGTAAGGAGGGTGATCCCATGTCCTTGGTCAGTTTTACTTCTGGAATGTTATTTTCTTTTAACAAGGCCAATTCCCAACCTTCAACTGAACCTGTTCGGCGAGCATGTCAACGATGGATGACCCCCAAGGAGAACATATACAAGGTCAACTTTGATGCTGCCATTGCAGAGCAAGAAGGTACCCATGGTATCGGGCTTGTGATTCAGAACCACAAAGGAGAATTCATCGCTTGACTGGCAAAGAAATTCCAAGAAACTGTTTCTGCTGAAATTGCTGAAACTGTAGCTGCTCGGGGAGCTTTTCTATTTGTGAAGGCATTACTTATTCCATCTTTTTCCATTGCAGGTGATGCATATTCAATTATCCAGAAAATGCTGAATAGAGAAGATGATTCCTCTGTCATAGGCCCTATCGTCAATGATGTGCGTGATAATTTGAATAGCTTTAAGTAATGTATCTTTGAGATGGGCGCCAAGGGAATTAAACAAAGTTACACATGTCTTGCCATTCATACTAAGTCTAGCAACTCGGTTGAATATCAATCAAATAGTGCTGGACGATTTTCAACAAGTGTTGTATCGTCAATAATTTAAATAGCTTAAATTGTGTATCCATCAATAATTTGAATAGCTTAAGTAATGTATATTTGAGATGGGTGCGAGGGAATTAAATAAAGTTAAACATGCTTTAACATTTGATGCTAAGTCCAGTAGTTCAATTGAATCACTTTGTAACTCATCACTTGATTTTGTCGAACAAATAGTGTTGAACAATTTCCATTAAGTTTTATAAATAAAAGTTCTTCTTTTTCATCAGAAAAAAAAAAACATTATACAACTAGAAAATATGATCTATTGGTTTACTTTATTTGGATGAGCAAGAAATTATTGATTACTGCTTATTGATCCTTCGAGCGTGTTTATTATAAGATTAAAGATATAATGATTGAATCAAAAGACTTGTTAGGGTTTAGCTAAAAAATGAAAAAGAGTTCTAGTTGATTATCCATGTTTATGACCATCGACATTCTTTTTTGTTAGAAAGAAAATAAAAACAAAAAAAAAAAGATTTGACTTAGTTGACTTTCTTGTTAATATATCGGTTTGGTTGTGAAGCCAATTGGACTTATCAACATATAACGGAGACTATTTCCGGACAGAAAATTCGCAGAGAAGGGGCAAAGGTGCTAATTTCAGCACAAGCGGTAAATATCGCCCTTAAATTGGGCCCTCAAAGTTGCGATTTATGCTGATTGATTCATAATCTAGATTAGGAGCAAGGTCAATGATTGGTTGAGTGAATTGACCGTGATATAAAGTACTCCTGCCAACAACATAACGCATGAACAATCGAAAGAAAATGCACTTTCTATTTGGGGTAATTTCAAAAACATCTAAGGCTGTTGTTAATTTTACCTAGTACCCTTTTAATTTCAAATGTTATACTTGTCTCCCTTCATAACTCAAAATGATTATAATAACCTTTCCAACAGAATAATACTCATCCTATGCAAAAAAAAAAAAAAAAAAAAAAAAAAGTAAAATAGTCAAATGACTAACCAGATATGAAAAATAGCTAACGAGCATTTCATCCCCCACTAAATAGCCATATCTTCACCACTTTGACCACCCATCTTTTTTCTATTCAAATTTGTCATCCTTCTCCAAAATCCCAATTTTCATATCTCACAAATTTTGGCGTTCATCATGCCCCTTAATCAACCCATATTTCACTCTTCTCAATTATTCTCGTTTTTTCTCCTACCAAGTTCAGTAAACAATTAAAATTCAAAAATATAATATCAAATTAGATTAAAGGAGTACCGAGGAAGTGATTAAAGCCGTAGGCAAGGCAAAAAGTTTGAGACTAGATGAAAAAACATGATTATATTCATTAAATAATTTGATTTAAAACCAAAAGAAAAAAAAACTCCTCAAGGTCAACAAGATATGTTAGTATGAATTCTTCCCACATTAGCCAAATCCAAAACTACCATTCAGGGAGTTATGTGTAATTTTTGAAATATGGAAAATGCTAGCATATTTGACATAGAAGACCCAACAAATCAATGATAATGTGTCGAAAATAGTCAAAATTGCTAAAGTATTGTAACAAAATAAAATAATACATTATTATTAATTTACACTATCTTTTATTTCGTTAATTTTGCTAACAATATTAGTAATTGAAGCCTTTTAAATCAATGATAATGTATTTCAATTAAAATTAGAACAAAACGATACATTGTTATTAATTTTTAGGGTAAAAAACAAAAAAAACCCTTGCGGTAAACCTAATACACAGAAAAGTCCCTTATGGTTTCAAAATATACAATACAATACCTCATGCTTTGAACTAAATTGTAAAGGTGACGGAATCCGTTAAACTTAACGGAAATGACTTATTGGAATCTAAAAAAAAAAATTTATACGTAAATTTTATCAAATATACCTATTCTATCCCTTGACCCTCAATTCTCTCTATTTAGAGAATAAAACAAATGATTTTTTTGAACTGTCTTTTGCTTAATTAAATCAGGGCATTTTTGTCATCTCGTCCATTTCCGTTAAGTTTAACGGATTCCGTCACCTTTACAATTTAGTTCAAAATATGAGGGATCGTGTTGTATATTTTGAAATCATGCAGGACTTTTCTATGTATTAGGTTTACCACACGGGGGGGTTTTTTTTTTTACCATAATTTTTATCACTCTTTATCTCATTAATTTTGAGAACGTAATCATTGGTTAGACTTAAATTGAACAAACTTAAGAATTTAGGGTGCAAAATGTTCAAAATTAAGAGCTTAGGATGCAAAGTATTTAAAATTAAAATTTAAAATGTAAAGCAAAAAAGTAATATAAGATCAATGGTGCAAAGTCAAAATTAGCCCAAATTTGTACATTTATTTGTTTAGCCAATTGTGTGCATCAAACTGTCTGAGCCCGCATGCATGCGTAGGATGAGGGGCACGAGCGGTCATCAGAAGGACCGCTTCTGAGCTGTTCATGGCCAAGATTTGACCTCAAAAAATTGTACGGTCCAGATCACTTCTTATATCTCGTTTTTAACAACGTATGTGGGACCACAAAAATTTATACTAAAGTTACACGTTATGCAAATAAAATTACGCCGTATACAAACAAAGTTACGCGGTGTGCAAAATGTACAAAACCGTTAGGAACAGTTGCACTTGCAACCGTTCCTGCCCGTGGTCGCGTACGTGGCTCCGATTCTTGCCATCTGTCTTGTCACCGCTCTTTTTCCCACAAATAATAAATAAAACACACACATACAAAAAAAAAAAAAAAAAAAAACTTCTAACATGCTCAAAAAAGATTGCCGAATGCGGTAAAGAGTATGCAAGAGTAAGTAAAATAGGCTTCTTGGATTAGAATAGGAGTAAAATAGATGTTACTAGTGAACCACAAAAAAATATGCTGAATATGATAAAGAGTGTGCAAGACATATTCCTGAAAGCTTTTGTGACAATAAGATATGATTACTTGTACTTAAAAACTTATTCAAACATTGTGAAACACTCCACAAATCAGAACAAAATTTCGCATTTTGGTACTTACCCGACTTATTGTATAAAATCGTTATGATGGTTATGTTTTACCTTTGGGGATCATAATGAGTGCATTAAGAACCAAATGGGAAAGCAAAAATGAAGTGTGTTTGCTTAAGGATCTCTAGATATAAGATAAACAGTCTATTTCAAATGAGAATCAGCAGATATCATTGCACCAAAACAGCAACTCTTCAGCTGTTGAGGTCAAATGTCTTATGTCTCACACCTGTTTCAACTTTCTAATATCTGCAACAAATCAGAAATAAATAAGATAAAACTATAGCATGAAGTACCCAAGAGAACAAATTTCAGGTGTTCCATCAACAAACATTCTGCATTTGCATGCTGTTGCAACTCGTGTTTCCCTTATAATAGACGAGCTTCTTTTACTTGTTCGTATTGGATTCCTGAAATCCTTTGAAAACATTAGGCAATGGGATTCACAACATCTGCCAACAAAAGAGAGGGAACTCCTGTTAAAGCTAACGATCTCCAACTGCTTCAATGCTTCTCAATTCTGAAAATTAAGCTCCAATTATGGGCTATCCTGTTACTAATGGCCTTGTCTCAATCAGGTGATGCTTATATACATTTTACAGCATTTTAATGAATTTGCCTATTCATTTGTTTTGCCTTCTATTAATTCATTCTAAATTCTCTTGCACAATTGCATTCGAAAGAGGCATTTGATCCACTGGATCCATTTGGAAATATTACAATCAAGTGGGATGTAGTATCATGGACAGCAGATGGATATGTGGTAAGTGAGCTCCTGAGCCTAATATGGCCTTTCTTCCTAGAAACTAAATGATAGAACTATAGAACAAGCTTTTCAGCCCCCAGACTTGCAATAATATGATCATGTAATAAATCAATGCATTCAGGCCTCGGTAATTATGAACAACTATCAAATGTATCGGCACATCAATACTCCTGGTTGGACCTTGGGTTGGAACTGGGCAAAGAAAGAAGTGATTTGGTCCATCGTTGGGGCACAGGCAACTGAGCAAGGTGATTGTTCAAAGTTCAAAGGAAACGTACCTCATTGTTGCAAGAAGAATCCCATAATTGTGGACTTGCTTCCTGGAGTCCCTTACAACCAGCAGTATGCCAATTGCTGCAAGGGCGGTGTGGTGGCATCCTGGGGCCAGGATCCTTCAGCGGCAGTCTCTGCCTTTCAGGTAAGTGTTGGTGTTGCTGGGACTTCCAATAAAACCTTAAAGCTTCCCAAGGACTTCGTGCTTATGGGCCCGGGACCAGGGTACACTTGTGGCCCTGCAGAGGTCGTTCCATCGACAGTTTTTTTCACACCAGATCACAGGAGAAAGACACAAGCATTGAGTAAGTTTTCTTTGAAGCTGAATCTACCAACCAAATCTTTGTCACCAGATGTTTCAATTAAGCTAGACATATATATATTAACATAAAAAAGAATCTCCAGTTATACTGCTTTAACATTTGAATGCAGTGACTTGGACTGTCACATGCACCTATTCCCAGATTCTGTCATCAAAGTACCCAAGCTGTTGCGTATCCTTCTCATCTTTCTACAATGAAACCATGACTCCTTGCCCATCTTGTGCTTGTGGTTGTCATAACAAAAGAGATTGTATCATGTAAGTCATGCTTACCTGTTGCGATTCCCAGTTCAGCGCCTTGACATCCTTGTAGGTTACAAGTTCAAGGTTGCCACTTTTCCAGCGAAACATTACCAAAAGAGTCTGTTAATTCTTTTTTCTAATTGCAGGAGTGACTCGAAGAGACTGAACACATTGGGAATAAATACTCCAAAAAAGGACAATACACCGCTACTACAGTGCACTCACCATATGTGCCCAATACGTGTTCATTGGCATGTGAAGATCAACTACAGGGACTATTGGCGTGTTAAGATTGCTGTTACTAATTTCAATTACAGAATGAACTACACACAATGGACACTTGTTGCACAACATCCCAACCTCAGCAACGTCACGCAAGTTTTCAGCTTTGATTACAAGCCTCTTGTTCCATATCAAGCTATAAGTAAGTTGAATCAATACAAAGCAAAGAATATTTGAAAATCTTCCGACACTTTTGGAAAGAAAGAATGATTGACATATTACTGATGGCAGATCAGAAAATTTATGAAGATACAGGATGACTGACATATCACTGCTGACAGATCACTCAACTAAAACCAAATAAAAGATAAGCTTAAAACAAAGCAAGTAAAGAAACAAAATAAAAAAAGAAGAAGCGAGTAAACTCAAAATATTTGTCATCCTTAATGTGCAGATGATGCCACCATGTTTTACGGCATAAATCAAAATATTTGTCATCCTTGATGCGCAGATGATACCGCCATGTTTTATGGCATGAAATTCTACAATGACCTCTTGATGGAAGCTGGGCCACTTGGAAATGTTCAGTCTGAGGTACTCTTAAGGAAGGATAAGACTACCTTTACTCTCAAGCAGGGATGGGGATTTCCGAGGAAGATCTATTTCAATGGAGATGAATGCAAGCTCCCACCTCCGGATTCATACCCCTTTCTACCCAACTCTGCCCATGAAATCCCATCATTCTATTCAACCATGGTAGCTATCATCCTCTCCTTACTAATCAACATAATGATGTAGTCTGGAATTTTGGCACAATGAATGGAGAGATACTGATGCAAGACTACTCCAAAATGATAATTTCAAGTACTTTTGTGCATATGATTTTCCCAACAATTGACAAAGATGCAAGTTTGAATTTGAGAATGTGGATGAGTCAACTGATGCAAAATCAAACATTCTGTTGTCATGCATTTACGTTTTCATATATTGTTAAACTAAGGAAAGAGATGCTACAGTTGCACTAAAGAAACCTTAATTCCTGAGGTCCTTCTACAAAGATTTTTATCCAAAAAACTAGCACAAACCATGTGAACAAAGTGCAATCAAGGGTCCAGTACTTTCGATTATGGAATAGCAAAAGAAACTCTAATTAAAGTTATCTAAATAATTTAGTGGAGATTTTAGCCAGATAGAATCCTAAATGTGCAGAATGCAGACATACTATATTTTGGGTAATTGCAATGTAATGTACAATTGCACTAGAATTAGTATCAGATAAAAGACACAAATATAATTGCACCCCTGTTGATTAATGAACACGGAGATTCTGTATACCTTGCTGCTCAACCGGGCTACCCTTATCACATGAAGTTGCAAACTAAAGCTTCACTTTTGGATATGCTTTGACAGGATTTAAAACAGAGCTCGAGTTCCATTTCTGAAGGAAATTCTGTACCTAAAGCCCTTTTTTATTCATTTCTTTCAGCCAACTTTCTAGACATAGCCCAATACAATCACCAAAGACACCAGTATCATTGTTAAGAGACAATGTAGAGATGTAACTCTAGGGACACTAGCATTTGGCAGATTTGGGTATAAATCTGGAGGTGGCATAACACAATTGTCACCATTGAAGTAAATTCTTTGGGGGAAACCCCAACCTTTTTCAAAGCTGAATGTTGATTTGTCCTTCCAGAATATAAGTTCTGATTGAATGTTTCCAGAAGGACCGGCATGCATGAGCAAATCATTGTAGAATTTAGTTCCCCAGAACATTGCAGTGTCATCTGCAAAATGATCAGTTCCACAGTCATGAATGTCAATACAAATTTCGAGAGTTATATTCCAAACACGTGATAGATAGGAGACAAAACCTACTTATGGAAGCATAAGGTGTCAACGGTTGATAATTAAAGCTGAAAGTCCGGGTAAGATGCTCGAAGTTTGGATGCTGAACAACAAGATTCCACTGAGAATAATTCATTCTATAATTAAAATTTGTGACCGTGACCTTGACTCGCCAGTACTCTTTGTAGTTAACTTTAATGTGCCAATGTACTCGGATAGGACACATATGGCGCGTACATTGAACCAATGGTGTATGACTATTTTTGCCTGATCTTGAAAGAGCAGAAGGTACATTTGGAGATTCGGACCTGTAAGATGGTATCAGACAAGTGAAAGTTGCCGGTAAGACCAGTCTCAATGTTGATACCAAGGTATCATGCCATCAGTGAAAGCTTATACTACTCAAACTATATACAATGCTAAATGACAAATTCACATTGAAAAGTGATATCTTACTCTACACAGATCCCTGGTTGGGTAATGCTGTTTTGGCAGCCACAAGCGCAAGTTGGACAGCTCACAATGGATTTGCTATAAAAGGATGAGAGTGAGACACAACAGGTAGGTGTCTTCTGGGCCAAAAATTGTGAATACATGCAGGTAATGTTCCATGTCACTGTGTATGAGAACACGAATATTGTATTAATGTTGCCAATCTTTTCAAGTGAGACCACATCTTTCACTAAATCAGAGCAATTTATTGTATATAACAGCATTTCCAAAATTCTTTAAAATGAACTTAAACAAATTGAAATCAACAGAATTATTGGAGTAAGGTACAGTAGTTGGTATTGGAAGCTATACTCCCCCAATTATGCAAAAACTATTGCAGGGTAAGTCTGGTGATGCAGATATTGGTGCATAAAACCAACAACAATGACAAGGAAAAGTATCAAAGAAGGATAAGAAGGGTAGGTAGCTCTAACATGAGTATCTATTCATCAGTCACATTTGACCCTTCTCTCTAATACCATTTCCAATGAATTTTAAAAAGAAAGCTACAAGTCGCTGTGATCCAAAATGATACACAAACTGAAATTAGAAAAGCATATGAAAAGATAAGCACAGGTGAACCCCATCATGCTGGGGAGAAAATAAACGGATGCTTTTTAAATTACTAGAAGAAGGCATGAGCAAATTACTTACTCAAAGCTTGGGTAACCCTTCTCTTGTCGTCTGAAACAAATTTGCTTGGGTTTACTGTCCTAGCAGGCCCACAGGTATATCCAGGCCCCGGTGTATTCAGTGTGAAGTTTTGTGGTGCTCTGGCAGTTGTATTGTTAGTTCCCGCTTGACTAACCGTAAGTTGGAAAGAACTCACAGCATTTGCCGGATCTTGGACCCAAGAGCTTATAACTCCACCCCTGCAGCAATTTGCAACCTGCTGATTGTAAGGAGTTCCTGGCATCAAATCAACAATTGTCGGCTTTCTGTTGCAACAATGAGGGATGATGGTTCCTTTGAATCTTGAACAATCTCCTTGCTCTGTTGCCTGACCCCCCATCATATTCCAGATTACTTCTTTTTTGGCCCATGTCCAACCCAATTGCCAACCCGGGGATTCAATATGTCGGTATTTGTAGAAATTAAAGATTGTAACAACAGCCTGTTAGTGCCAATGGCGTGGATGTTAAAGACATGAATCATGAGCAAATAAAGCACAAAAAAATGCATATTATATTCATACAAATCTCGCATACAAGGTTAAGCCATTAATTACTAGATTTTGATATCAGGATTCAATATTCTGCAAAAAGAGGTAGTGAGTAATTAATTAGTTGTAAACTTACAACATATCCATCAGCATTCCAGGTCTTAATATCCCATTTGATGGTAATATTGCCAGTGGGATCAAAAGCATCATAGCCGTCTGCAAGAACAAGCAGCAAGCAGAATCTCTTATAAATGGTTATTTCTCACAATGTCGAAGAAATGGACTCTTTAGGCGTTGTAAAATTCAGAAGTTTCAGCTAAAATTATCAAGTAGTTACAGTACTTGACTCAGGTTTCTGCAACTTGGACCCAATAGTGCAATTGACTGACACAAACAGTGCAATGTAACAAGGCATGAGCCATCAGGCTTTACATTTTAGAACAAAGAAAAAAGAATAACGTTGTATCAAATATTGATGAGTTGATGACATTTGAACAAAATATGCAATCAGAACTTAAAGCAATTAGTTGCCCAAACTTCACTCCTAGACTCTAGTATCATATGACAGTTCAAAAACTTAAAGCAATTAATTTATTCGTGATCGTTATTAATCTAGACTGGACAAGGATGTTGGTCCTATAGATTATCAATTTAATAGCTGATTGATGTTGATATCTTTTTGATGCATCTTAATCCAAGCGTTATCATTGGTCATTTTGTTCTAATGTAATCACATGAATACATAAACAAATAAATAGCAAATCTTCTGAACGAACAAATCAATAATTATCATTTTTGCCAATTGAGTGATTACTTACCACTAGTACTATCAAAGGTTGACAACTAATTAACTAAACTAACAGAATCCAAAACTATGAGGAAATGTCCTTGCTTACGAAACATACCACTGCATTTACTACAAAATACACAGAGAAAACTATTTACAAAAGGAGGAGTTTATGACGTAAAGCTTATCCAGCAAAATAATTTTTTTAAAAAAAAAAAAAGAAAAAAGGAATACCATGATCCCTATGAAAAAAAATTAATGAGAAAACAAATGAAGAATGAAGAAAAAGACAGAGAATCCTTGTTAACTCTTAAGCGGGCCAATATCTCAGAGCGGTGAACTGTAATGATATAAACGTGCCCACCCCAAGAAAACGGGTTGCCCACCCGGGTTCATGTCTATCCATGCATTAAAAATTTGCTTTCTCTTCAAACAAAAAAGAAAAGAAGAGTAATTAACTATTTATTATTAACAAGAAACCCAAAAAAGAAAAATGAGTATAGACCGTTTCTTTTTACCATAAGTGATAATAAAATTTAATGCGCTTTTAACTGGTGGAGTAATAAAAAGCAACGTTTTTAATTAATAAATGAAGAAAAAGTAGATGGAGTCTATCAAGAAAAGACGAATTAAGAAGACATATAAATCAGTTTTGAATTCAGAATCATAGCTCTCTTTCATCGTTAAAACATAAAATTTCTTCAATAGTTTATACAATTATAGGAGAAAAAAGGAAAAAAATAAGTTTTGGAGTTGAGGAGGAAGGGAAGTGAAAATCAGAAATGTTGAAAGAAAAATGAGTATAGACCGTTTCTTTTTACCATAAGTGATAATAAAATTTAATGCCCTTTAAACTGGTGGAGTAATAAAAGGCAACGTTTTTAATTAACAAATGAAAGAAAAAGTAAATGGAGTCTATCAAGAAAAGACGAATTAAGAAGACATATAAATCAGTTTTGAATTCAGAATCATAGCTCTCTTTCATTGTTAAAACATAAATTTTCTTCAATAGTTTATACAATTATAGGAGAAAAAAGGAAAGAAAATAAGTTTTGGAGTTGAGGAGGAAGGGAAGTGAAAATCAGAAATATTGAGCACTGACCTGTAGAGATAAAGCTGAAAGACGCATGCAGCAAGAACAACAGGAGCAAGATTCTGGTAAAACTGCTAAATAGGTTTGCCAAAAACAAGTCCATTTTCTCTTGCGACCAGCTACGAGGTTGAAATTTTTTGAGATTGTAGTGTTTTGTTCCAACAACTCGCTTTTATGGTGTTTTGAGAAAAGGGTGTCGGTCCTTAATGTTTCATTTTTGACGAAATCCAAGATTACGTGTAAAGAATAGGCGTACTTTGTGAGTAGGGGTGCAAACCAACGGACTCGAATTGAATTTTAGCGAATCGAATCTTAATTTAATTTTATGAAATTTGAACTCGAGTTCGACGAATTCAAAATGTAAAGATCGAGCTCGAGGAAAAAAAATTAATTATTATTTTATTTTTAAAAAATAAAAAAATAATTATTTTATTTTTAAAAAATAAATAAAATAATATTTTTCTTAACAAATAATAAAATATTAGAGATTTATATATAATTTTACTATTAAAAAAATAAATATATATAATCTAACTTGCGAGCTTACTATTAATATATATATATATATATATATATATATATATATATATAATCGAGCTCGCGAGTTTTAAGCTCGAGTTCGATTTAATCAGTTCGATCTCGACGCAAACTTAATATTAACTGAACTCGACTCGTGCTCGCGAGCAATTCGATTCATTTACGGCTCTACTTATGAGCACTGAGATGTCAAAACTTGAGGGAGAAGAGTTAGTGGATGTTTGACTTTTTCTTGTGAATGGCGGATGTTTTAAGGGTACTGCAATGTGGTGATTTTAACGGGACTAGAGCCAAACTGTAGCCAGTTAATCTTCAGTAGCAACAAATCCGTGTGCTTCACAACATTGTCCTCTGTACAGAGTCATTTTAAGGGGAAATTATGCTCAGAATAATTTGGGATATCCAATAATGTGTAAAAGGATGTTTTCAATGGATGGTTAGTGGGTAACAGAGTACATCTAAATTATATTTAAATTATGTGAATACAAATACTAATAATCATTAGAATTAATTACATTTACCTTCCTTGAGCTTTAATCAAATTATGAAACAAATCTTGAAGTTTGTTCGCATTACCAAAAGACCTTTAAAAATCATAATTTCTTAACATTTTCATCCCTTTGGTCTAGGGGTGTTAAAAAAAAAAGTGGATAATGAAGAAAACTAAATTGATCCAAACAAAAAAAAAGGGGCAACCAACCTACAATTTTGAAATGGTTAAGTTACCTGAATCTACTTAAAAAATTAGATTAGAGTGTGGCTTTCAATTTTCAAAAACAGTAGTTACCTGAACCTACCTGCATATAAAAAGATATATAGGGTTAGTTAGAGTAACCAATCCGACGACGGCACTAGCTACCTCTTTTATTTTTTCTTCCATTCTCTCCCTCTTTCTCTCCCCCTTCCTCCTTACTCCTTCTCATTCTATCCTCCCCTCCCCTCTCCCATTCTACTTCCCTCTCCCCCACCACCTCCTCCCCCCCCTTCCTCCCCACGCCACCCTTTCCCTTCTCCCCGGCATGATATGGTCGCGCGACTATATCTCTGGTCATAACGACTAGATTTGGCTGCCGCAACAAGATCACGCAAGGGGGAGAGGAAGGGTGGCAGGGGGAGGGAGAAAGGGGAAGGAGGTGGTCGGGGAGAAGGGAGAAGAAGGGAGAGGAGAGGGGAGGGGAGGAGAAGAGAGAGGGGATGAGAACGGGGGAGAGGAGAGGAGGGAGAAGAGGAGGAGAGAAAAAAAAAAGCAAAAAAAAAAGTTTCTGCTGTTGCCGGCACCCATTGCCAATGGATGTTTTAGCATTGGCCGTTGGCAGTAGGGATGGAGTAATGAGGGAGAAAAGAGAAGAGGAAAGAAAAGGGAAAAGAAAGAAAGAAAAAGAAAAGAAAACAAAAAACAAAAAGAAAAGTAAAAACAAAAAAAGTTTTACATCTTAAAATTTTGTGTACAAATCCTACAATAAGTTACACTAAAATTTTAGGCAAAGACCCAAAAAACTCTTCTGTCAAATGAGACCCTAATCTCGACCCATAATTATTTAGTCATTTACTAATAATTTGAGTTAAGATGACCATTATATATTTTATTTTTCAAAACTTATAAATTTATCTTCCTAACCCTAACTCTCATTTATATTTTCTACTTCCTACTTTTGCCACCACTAATATCATATATTCTACTTTTTGTCATTTTCTCAAATTTTTTTTTTGTAATGAACCTATTCTTCTTCATTTCCTCTCCTTTTTCTCCATGAACCAGAACCTTCAAGACCCCTCAAATCTTCATTTTCACCAATTTATCTTGCTAGAAATCACCATACAAACTTCTTAAAGATCATTTAGTGCCATTTCCATCAATCAAAAACAACCAAAAACACCTAAAGTTTAGGACTAAGTGTCATTAAACAAGGATTTTCAAATCTGAAAATCATTCTTTTGGGGGCTAATTTGGATGTAATTTTTTATAACTTTCACATCATTTGCATCATATAACATCACTCAACCAATTAGAGGTAATTTCTTCAACTTAACTCGGCATTTTACATTTCACCATTTGCATTCTTCTTAAGTTTCTTGACAAATTTTCAAATGGTGAATATGTGATTTTTTTGTTGATATTTATGAGTTTCATTATGCTTATTTGGCATTTCAAAGCATATTTACGTGGTCAAATTTGGAATGTGATGATTTATGAAGTATTTTAATTTTTAGCATATTCCTATATTTTGACACTTGTAGTGATTGGATTTGGAATGTTAATAAGCATTGTTGGATGATTCAAATAGAGAAAATGTGACTTGTTCACGATGATTAAATAGGTACATTCATTATATAGTGACATTTTGAAATTTTTGAATTTTGGTGATTGAAAAATGGCTAATTTTAACTATCTTTAAAGGTTTATGACATTGATGTTTGGAAGTTGTAATGAACTGCATTATTGCCTATTCTTCATATTGATCGTGATCGTATGATGAATTTTGAATATTTTGAAGAAGTTTACAATTTTTGTGGAGTCTAGGAGTTTAATTAAACATGTGCATGAGGTGTGCTTCTTGGCTTTATTTTACTCTTGAATTGATTTCATTGGGATATCATGACCTTGTTAAAATGTGTAGATGAGAATTATATCTGACACTTGATGTTCTAGCCATTTTGAGTGACAAAGTGTAAATACATAAAAGATTTAGAAAGTGAAGTGTTGCATTGTACCTTAAAGAGTTTCTTGTTATTTTTATGTTGGTACAAAGATTAGACAAGGTGCTGGAGTTACAGATCGCCATTTCTACTTATTGATGCCTTAACCACCTTTACTTACTTGAACCCTTGTAGTTTAAATTCCATTTTTACTT